AGACATTACCACAAATGAAAGAATCAATTTCATATTTCCACTCTTGCTATTAATGGAATCATATAAGCAACAATTTTTCCTAAATGCCATTGTAAGGATATTTTAAAATAAATAAAATCAAAAAAATTTTCTTTTATTTTAAAACTTTGCGGAAGAACTTATCCTTACAATCCATATGAAATCTTGTTGTTATCTATTCCTAAGCAATATCTCATAACTCCTAAGAAGTAGCTCAAGAATCCGATCTTCAAACTACGCGATAGAAATCCATCTATGCGATCAGATTTAGCATATTCTTTCTTTAAGTTTCTTCACTTTTCTTTGATTCTTAAAACATCACCATGTGACCCAGTCACATCATGTATCAAGAATCTCAGAATAGAAACTTAATAGAGTTAGATAGTGGACTTTACCTGAAGTAGAGTCAAACTTATTGACTTTAACATCCTTAGGTAAATTTGGCATCTTTGCAACCAATGCCCCTTCCTTTGGCAATATAAACATATGGACCCTTTGATAAAGGTACACGAGACTATCACAGACTTAGCTTTTCTCTTTACCATTTGGTCAACCGTGTTGACTATGGCCGATCCCTTTCCATTGGGAAGAGAATGCTTTTCTGGATTTCCTGTGTCACTATTATCAATGTCCATCAAGTTTTAAGGAAGTTGATCTTAACAAATATATAAGATCATTAAGGGTCTTGTCATAGTCTGTTTCATAGGTGTCCCAAAGGAACTCACTATGTGACTTAGAAAGTGATTGCACCACCAACTTTCTCAAGACTTTGACACCCAACTCTCCCGGCTTGTCAATATGTGACTACATCTCCAAGATGTGACCACATCTAGACCTTGCCTTGCCAATAGGGCTTGAGTGACCTTAAACTTTTCAAGAACTTGTGGGTTAGGGAGAATAATTGGAGGAGGTGAACGAAGTATGATTTCCATAAGACATCATCTTCATTTAGGAAAGCTTGTTTCAAGAGATTTGGGAAGATCATAAATATCTAAACTAGACATCTTTTGGGAGATATTCAAGATAGTTGATTTTAAAGTCCTTAATATCACACCTAATATGAAATATTAAGGCTAGGACCCAACAAACTATTTTATAACTTAGAAGAGGTATGCCGTAATCCAAGCTATAAAATATTTGAAGGTAGGTGAATGACGATTCACCAATTTCCACCAAGATAAACGAAATGTATAATTAGGTTTTAATTGGCTTTGAAACTCCTAGATCTTTGAGATTCATTGAACTGTTCAATGGCATGTTTCAATCTCGAGTGTGCCCTTCAGGTTTTGTGACTGGGATGCCGAGGATCACAAAACAAGGTGTGAAGTAACCATGCAAATCACTTGGTACCCTTAATAAATTACCCCTCAATCGATGTGCCGGTTAACCACACACGCTCCATCGATACTATGATAAATATTAAGTCACCCTTTACCTACCTTGTTAAGTCCAAGTTAGTGTGCCGGTTAACCACACACGCTCCACTAACGACTTAGACAAAGTGTAAAGTGTAATTTCATGGATTAGCACCTTATTCACATTTTCCTAAGTAACTAAGATTGGGTATTATTAAGAGTTTAGTTACTTAGTATTTATCATTAATACTTTTAATGAAGGGAGAATTATAGTCCTGTCAAACCCGTTCGGCTAACGACCCTCCACCAGTCAAGCAAGCGGTGGGTGAGAGTGGACACCCATTAAGTTGCCATTTTATAGGCAACAACCTTATACCCACCTTATAGACCGGCTTCGTGAATGAGGCGTACTAGCGGTAAGACTGACTTTACTCTTATACATATATATATATATATATATATATATATATATATATTATTAACTTATAATATTATAAAGTATAAGGGTTGAATTTTAACTCTTTAAAATTCTAAGGGCTAACTTGGAATTAAAGTATTCATAAGTGAAAAATTTTCAAATTCCAAAACTTGAGGGCAAGTTTTGAAACTATTCAAAACTAATTAATTCCATAACTTATGTGTTTAAAGTAGTTTTAATCCAAAAAACTCTTCAAGTTCCATAACTTATGGAAGACTTTAAACTAATAAAAGAATTAACTTTTCTTTTATTTTTATAACTTATGGAATTAATTAAGGTTATACTTTACTCTTTAATGAAGTGACTCTTGAACTTCCATAACTTGAGGACAAGTTATGGAGTCATAAAAAAATATTCAATGACACAAGACTCTTCATTTTGTAACCATTACCAACTTTTATGAGTTTTATGAGTCTTTAATGTGACTCTTCATGTAAATTGAGGACAAGTTACACAAACACATTTTATACTCAACTCTTAGATTAAAATGGATTGAAAGCAACTATTTCAATTAACTTTTCTATTAATCTAAGCAACTCATAAGAACAAGATAATTCAAATCAAACTTTTCCATGTAATTAGTCTAAACCTTAAACTAATACAAAACATGAATCTATTGACAATTATCTTTGAAAATGGATTAGCATGAACATTACCACATTAAAAACAAGTTTATAATTTCAAAAACAACTTAGGGTAATGTTCCTAGTCCATTTCTAGCCAAAAACCTCAAAAATATGCTGTCTGGGGGTCCAACTCGTCGAGTGCATGAACCGACTCGGCGAGTTGGATCGTTTTGATCACTTTTTAGGCATGGACTCGCCGATTCTGATGATCAGACAGCAACAAATTTCATTTTTTCAGCTTCTATTGCAGGTATAACAAGAAAACAAGCCTAGGCTCTGATACCACTGTTGGGTTATGAGCATTCTAACACTCCTAAGTGTACATGCAACCCTAAATACCTTGGATCTATGTTTTCTCTATTATACATGCGAATAAGAACTTCCAAGGTATTATCCTAATCTAGCATACAAATCAATGAATGTAACAAGATAAAATACATACCTTTTGATGTAGCTTGATGTCTTCATGCTTTAAGAGCTTAGCCCCAATATTGTGGAAGCCTCAAGTGGAATCACAAATCACCATGACACCTTGGAAGACTTTAGAGAATATGAATACTTGGTTCTCTCTAGTGAAATTGGCTAGCCCTTCTTAGTGTACCACACTAGTCCCCATTTCACCAACCAAGGAAATCTTTATATAGTATGGAGGATTAGGGTTAAACCATAATACCCATGACCTTTCATTTCCTAGGATCCATGGGTTAAACAATCCATGGACTATCCATGAAAGCTTAGCCCAACCTAAATGAACTTGGCCCATTCCATATATATAAGAGTCCATATTTAATTAGTTCCTTTTGATCACTTAATTAATTATAATTTAACTCTTGATCAATACTAATTAAATAATATGATTCCATATTAATATATTAGAACTTATAATATATTAATATTAATCATAAACATACTATTCTCAAAAGATTATCCATATAAATTGTGTCGGTGAAGTGCAACCCAAATGGACCATGCTGGGTCAGGTCAAGTACATACCAAATATAGTTATGGACTTAGACATTAATCCAACATGGGCGAGGTCCCGTATCTCACCAATAGCAGAGGGTGGACGGTGTTCCACATCTTATTAGAAGCAGAGCAGGGGCGAGGCCCAATTAGGGAAATGGTGAGTGTGGGTTGGGCCCGTATCTCACTATCAGTAGGAGCGTGGATGGGGTTCCATGACTCATTAGTAGCAGGTCAGGGGTGAGGCCCAAGATAGGCAAGGCCTTAGGATAGGATCCATTAGTATATGTTTTGCTTATGTGTTGTGATATGTCTATGTGCTATTATATGTTAGAGGGCGAGGCCCAGTGATAGGTGAGACCTATGTGAAACAGATCTGTATCCGAGCGGGGCCCAAAGCCAGGCGGGGCCTGGAGCGGCGGGGCCGTTATAGCGGGCAAGGCCCAAAGTAGCGGGCGAGGCTTGGAATGGCGGGCGTGGCCCAATATGTGTAGTATGTGTTTGTGCAGGGTATGTGGTAGGTTGGGGAACTCACTAAGCTTCGGGCTTACGGTTTTCAGTTTTGGTTTCAGGTACTTCCGGTAGCGGAGGAAAGAGCTCGGGGTGATCGCATGGCACACACCATAGATTAGACAGCCTGGGAATGTTTTACAGTTTTAATGAAAATATGTTTTGGAATTAATACTCTGAATTCATGTTAATGTTTATTAAAGGAAATTTTTGGACCTGAAATCTGGGTCGTTAGAACATGGCTCTCTCTTTCTCTCTTTATATATATATATATATATATATATATATATATATATATATATATATATATATATATAGAGAGAGAGAGAGAGAGAGAGAGAGGTTCAGGTGTTTAAAGTAATTATTGTGTTATTGTATGCATAAATGTAGACCAATCATTTTAAAAACCTAGATAGGGGTAAAATTGTAATCTTAGCTTTTAATTAATTTTGGTAATTAATTATTCAAATCATAAACCCTCCTTTGATTTAGGCAAAATCGTTTACATTTACCATTTTAAAACCCTAGACAAAAACATCAACCTTTTACAATCATCAAAGATCAGAAGCAAGGTGAAGAAAGGTCAAGCTCCAAAGTTGCAGAGATCATTGGCAGCTCCAGTATCGATTCAATCCAACAAGAATCCGAAGACCTATTTGTGATCCGCAATCAGCTTCATTAAATCGAAGCCCAACAGTCCAATTTATTCGATCTCCTCGAGGCGGCAGTTGGTTCAGCGAACTCGTTCGCGTATCTATGGCAAGTGTGTTGCGAGGTTTCTTGGTCGATTCTCGTTTCAACCCCTTTGAGAAAACCCTACCTTTGGTATTAATGATCGGTATGTTGATTCTCCATTTTCTTTCAGTTTACTGATTTAATTTCCATTGAAATTGATGATCGGTATGTCGATTCTTAGCAGATTCATGATATAAATCCATGTTTAATTTGTGGATTCAATTGTGTTTTGCTGTCACGAAGAGTGTAAGTCTGAAAAGGGTAAGTCTAAAGAAATAGGACACGAAGAGGATTCAGAGGGTAAACTTTTATCCCCATCTTCAAAAGAAGCCAATCCAAGTTCATATTGTCCGTCCTCAGCCACACCTGGAGTTCCCCTGTACCCTCTTCAGTTAGATGTTGTAAAGCATCTTGTGAAACTATCACCAGCCAGGGCTATTTTAGCATGTGTTTTTGGGAATTGTATTTTATATTGTGGAAATGACTACTCATAAACCATGTCAGGCTCGTTGACTGATGGGCCTGGGTCAGTCCAGAAGCATGATGCTGAAAGATTGTTCTTTGAGTTTGCACTTGATCAATCCGAGAGGTTACTTTTGTCTTTTCTCCATATATAACTAAAGTCAGTTAGTTGGTTACCCGATTTTGAATGCCATTTAACTTCTAATTTAGGTTTCCGACCTTGAATCGGTGGATACAAATGCAAGCTAATCTTCACCGACTTTCAGAGGTAGCTATAACTGCTGAGCATTCGGTTAATGATGGAATTGAGGCGAAAACTTCAGTGAAGAGGTTTTGGGAGCATGATAGTGATTCTGATTTAGAACATGATGAGCTGGCGCTGGTGTGAGCAGCCTTTCTGTTCTTACAGACACTAAAAATGAAAGTGGTATATGGCAAGATTCACCCAAGACAGAAGCTGTTGAAATTGATACAACAATTTTTCTCTCTTTTGGATGGGAGAATGAAAAACCGTATGAAAAAGCTGTTGAAAAATTTGAAGTTGTATCCAAAAATTTGTTATTAGTCGGTGTTGGCATTCTAATAGAATATCATTCTAATAGTAATATATATCCTGAAATTCCTAGAGAATATGATTCTAACAAAATGGCATTCTAACAGAATAATATATGTAACAACCCGAAATTTGTTCGTCGCCAAGAACCGTTCTACCCGGAAAGTCGCCGTTATCGGATTCGTTCCGATTTCTCTTTGAAAATTTATTTGTATAAATTATGTGTTTATTTTATCCTAATGAGTGTCTAAAGCACTCAGGAACTTATGTTATTCGCCCAAAATGATTATTTCACGAGTTTTTAAAATGTTCCCGTCGGGTGACGGAAACTCAATCGGGTGCGACCAAAAGACGCGGTTAGCGTCGGTATCGGGTAGAATTCCACCGTGTGCAAATTTTGGGAACTATATAAACATGTTTCAGCCTTCATTTGAAGCTTTTCCTTCTCTCACTACTCTCTCTCTAACCTCTCTCCAAAATCCAAAGATTAAGTGTCCAAAACTCAATTTTAAGGCTTCAACTCCTTAAGGTACCTCCCTAGCCTTAATCTATAGCATGTTTAGCTTCCAAATTAGACACTTAAACATGAAATTGGACAAAATGCATGAGTTTACGGCCTAAGAAGGTGCTTAGGCCGTAAACACCTAAGATGGTGGGTTTTGAGCCTTTAAACCCTTCCTTGACTAGTTTGGACCTTGGATATGGCTATGAGACTTTAATATATGTAATCTAAACATGAAAAACTTTCATTTTGTGATGATTTAGAGGAGTTTACGGCCAAGGAATATTCTTGGGCCGTAAACTCATATAATGAGGGTTTTTATGCCCTTAAACCCTTCCAAATCACCCCTATAGCTTAGATATGAATTATGGGACTTTGATTCTTGCATTTGGACACTTGAAACATTAATTTTGAGGACTTAGATGAGTTTACGGCCAAGGAGAGTTCTTGGGCCGTAAACTCCACAAAACTTGGCATAAATCTCATTCTAAGGTGTTAGAAAGCCATCCAACACCACCAAAAGCCTTGGAATAAATCAAGGGACCAACCAAAAATACTTTGAGGGCCAAAAACACAACATTTATGGGGTTTCTAAGGGTTTACGGCCAAGACATGTTCTTGGGCCGTAAACTCCAAAATTTTTGGTGTTAAAATGCAAACTACACACCCCTAAGGCCCTTAGATGAATTTTAGAAGTCCATTCATGCATGTTCTAGACCTTGAAACACCTTGGAACATCACACACTAGAGTTTACGGCCATGAAGGGGGTTTCATGGGCCGTAAACTCCATAAATCATTCATATGTCCCTTACAAACTCATGTTAGGCCTTGGATTAATTCTACCAATCACATGTGATTTGTTTTGGTGGAACCATTTAACATCATTTTCTTGGAAAAATAGGGGTTTACGGCCATGGATCTTGCTAGGCCGTAAACTACCATCAAAGAGGGTCAAATTGATGTTTTAAATCATTCCAAGTCCTTAAACCAAGTCTAGAAATTATCCCCTAAGTGTTGGAAGTCCAAATGGCACCATAAATCACCCATCATGAGTTTACGGCCGTAAACTCATGGGGAAGGGTGTTTTGGCCGTAAAATCCCTTAATGGGAGTGTTCCTTTGATGTCCCAACTCATTTCCCAAGTCCCTTGTGCCATTCATGTCCCTAAACACCACCCGGGTCCCACCAAACACTTGTATCGGAGTGTTATCGCGACCTGAAGCAATTGTCCCTATCCGACAATCAATCTAAGTCCTAATTAGATACAAATGTGTATCTTTACTTCATAATTAGGAACCTCGTGCGTTTACAAGTCCCGGCTCAACTCTTAGCATCCAAACCGTCTCGTACCTCATTCGGTGAGTTCATACCCCTACGGCTTTTTCACTGTTTTCAATGTTTTCAGGGGGGGAATACAAGCAAACTATAACTGTTTTCCAATCACAACATTGATGTGTTTCAAACAATATTTGACAAATAGATAAACTCTTTTACTCCTTATGTATTATGCTGAGCATAAGGAATGACTACTTGATTTCAACTAAATGGACTTTAGTTAAGAAACAATCAAACTAATCAAGTTATTATGGGAATAATTTGGGGGTCTTTACTGTTCCTTCTATCGTATACTGATATCTATACTAAATTATTTGATAAACTATGTCCGTTCAGTTTATCTTCGTATCATTTGAATGTATTATCTGATGATTTCATGTATGTATCTATACTTTACTGTACTATGTTTCATAACTTTCTGTATGTCAATATCTTATAAGAACCCTGTGAATAGTTTAGTACTAGCTTGTGAGATAGTCACTACCCTTTATGGATGATCAGTAAATCCTCTCCGGAAGTGTAACCAGAGTCTCCTGGAGGGAGAGCGCGGAATTTGTGAATAGATCTATTCGGGACTGACAATCCCACACCTTAACTGCTAGCTACAGTTAGGCGGGCACGCCTAGGGTGACAAATTTCTGGATATCGTTCGACGTCTGACAAACGTCAAGGAGGTCACGTTGTCGTATCAGTATGGTTACCCGACTCACAATATGTATTAATACCAGCTTATTCACAGTTTGGGTTCAGGATCTTTATTTCGTTCGGGATTGTGATCCCATGGTATTGTTTCTATGTCTCTTTCGGGATAGTGATCCCATGGTATTATCAAACTATTCTATATCTATGTCCTATACGGGATAATGATCCCATGGTTTATTCTTATATCTCTTTCGGGATAGTGATCCCATGATATTAACTAAACTATTTGGTATCTAGTTCGGGATAGTGATCCCATGGTTTTATGTCTACTATCTGTACGGGATGTCTTTCCCCATGATCTTTAACTATATCTTATACGGGATAGTGATCCCAAGGTTTCATATCGATAACTTATACGGGATAGTGATCCCATGGTTTTCTAAATCTATATACGGGATAGTGATCCCATGGTTTTCTAAATCTATATACGGGATAGTGATCCCAAGGTTTTCTAAATCTATATCTTATACGGGATAGTGATCCCATGGGTTCTAAAATTTGTATCTTATTCGGGATAGTGATCCCATGGTTTCAAATCTATATTTACATACATACATTAACTTATCTCGTGTTAGTTCGGGATGATAGTCCCATGATCTTGAACCGTACTTTCGAATATCTCAAACTAACTTATATGTCTTTCGGGATAGTGATCCCAAGATTTTCATTATATAGTTTTGTGTGCTAAACTATACTTTGTGATATACTATTGATCTTACAATTAGGAAAATATGGGATTTTCCTGGGGTAAATACAATACATAATCGAATTGGTAACAAACGATAACTTAACCAACTTTCGGAAACTAAAGAAAACTGATACATTTTCACAAAACAAAACCGCTTATGAACTCACCAGCTTTATGCTGATTTTCAAACCGCTTGTATTCTCAGGTCCAAGTTAGACAGGTACCCGGTGATCTCTTTTGGCGAAGACGGAGTGCGTAGAAGACTCGTCTCAACTTTTGTTAATATGATGCATATGTATATTTGTATAACTTTACTTTTGAAACACATGTAAACTTTCATATATATGCAATGTAATGTTTGTTTACTGTGAATACTATGTACATTGGATTTGATACACAATGTGGTAGTCAACCCCGGAGACGTTTCCGCCTCTGGTTTTCGGGGTGTGACAATATACATGGTTTTGTTTGTTATTACTGAGTATTTCATTGTCATAAACTATTATATAAAGTTTTTACATTTTTAAGAATGTAATGAAAAATTTGAAGTTGTATCCAAAAATTTGTTATTAGTCGTTGTTGGCATTCTAATAGAATATCATTCTAATAGAAAATCATTCTAATAGAAATATATATCCTGAAATTTCTAGAGAATATGATTCTAACAGAATGACATTTTAATAGAATAAAATCGTGTTTAATTATAAAAATTACGTTATAATTAAAATTAAAGTAATTAAAAAATTAGAATTTTAAAATCAAGAGAATTAATTATCCCAAAAATATGGAATTTTCTTTTTTTAAATTTATCTCAATTGTCTAAAATACCCTTAGAATGAAATTAGATTGTATTTTTCAACTATCTTTAATTTAATAATATGTATTAATCACTTTCTTAAAATAAATAAAATGATTGGCCCACATTTATGCGTACAATAACACAATAAGTAGTTTAAATTGAATAACCTAAGCCTATATATATATATATATATATATATATATATATATATATATATATATATATATATATATATATATATATATATATATATATATAAACTATAAAAAACAGAAGTTAGTTTTGTTATAATCTGGTACATATGCTTCCATTGTAAAAGTCTACAGCCCTTCATTTTGCCGTTAATCGCTTTAAACTCTGACGATTTGGATTGTTTCCTTGATTAATAATGCTTCTCTATTAAACTTTCTCTCTCTCTCTCTCTCTCTCTATATATATATATATATATATATATATATATATATAGGTAGACGTAAAAGTCTGATAGTAGTGACACAAAAAAATGTCAGTAATTTTGTATAGAGGTTGCACGTTAATCACTTAAGTCATCGCCCCAAACTCTCATATCTTCTTCCTAGGGATGACTTAATATGTAAAGTTGGCAACCTTACTTACATAAATGACTCTAGAGCTCAAAAGAGCTTAATGAAAGGTCTTAACAATTGCATGAGTCCAAATGAACCATAAAGATTGCATTTTTATGACTTTGGGACACCTAAAACATACAAATCTACAATATTAACTTCTGAAATGGCTTAAGCTCACAAAACCTCCCAAAAGATGCTTAAATGGTTAAGAATAACCCAAA